GTTTGAGGTCCGTTGTTCAAAATCTTGTTTGGAACAGAATTATACTATTAACGCAAGCGTACGGGTCAATATGAAATTAGTACTTATGTTGGTTATTACAAGTTGCAAGATGTATCCATTATAGATTGTGTGATTTAGCGAATGCGCGTAACAAATCGTCGAGGGTTTTTAGATAGACCACATAATAGAATACTTCAAATCATGCTCATTGGAATTTATGGTTATATTCTTGTAATTTAATCAAACTTTCGGGAATTATAGAGACGTTTCAGAAGAGTTGACAAAAAATTCACATGGTGCAAATTGAAGCTATAAGTGTTACGCATACACAAATAAACACTAAAAAACTTTTTTAATTCCCTTAATCATTAGCATTAGCAATGGATTCGCAAGTATCAGATCATATATATTGTGCCCGTTTTATATTTAAATATCTCAAAATAATCTTCTAACACATAATATAAGATTTCAGTGACACATAGTGTAAACTAATCTATCAGTTGAAACTTTTAATTATTTTATATCACCACAACGGACTGTGTTTAAGTACAAAAACACTACTAAATGACATCGACACGAGTACATCGACTAATCGACCAAGTTTCAGATCGATAAAATTCCCATTTAATTTTGTGGCAAGATAAGAATGGTAATTATCTGTGGAATCAACGGTTAGAATGAAGCGGACATAAAATGACATGATGCTACAGAGCGGAATATCACCTGCAGCTGGTTGATTTTCAGAAGCAGTATTGCAATGAATGTTGAAAAGAACGCACACCATGATTATCGATCTTAAGCCGAAATAAAAAAAAGTATGGCAAAATCAGGTACTATACGACACCCGAAACTGTGAAAGTGTATGAATATCAAAAGTTGGAATTAGTGTCGAAAACAAATCTCAAACCAAATTTTCATGTCGTTGCAAAGATGTTTTAGTACAATGTGGTTGTAAAGCTATGTTAGTCTGAAATGATAAAAGTCAAGAGGTCACGCATTTGCTGCGGTGCGGTGCGATCGCGAAAAACATTCATGCGATATTTCCATGGTCGCGGCGAAATATCACTGGGCGGCAAAACTGACATATCCAATCAGAGAGCAATATTGTTCATCACGTGGTCTACTTATCCTTACATTACCAAAAAACTCTGCAAATTCGGGTGTCACGATCATTTCGCGTTAAATTACGTTCTGGTGAGTGTTTCGTGGTGGTGCGATGTTTCGCGTTAGCCGCTGTGGACATTTGTCTTGTAAAAGTGCGTTTTGATCCTAAATGGCTCGTGTAGACATCCATTTGAGAGTAGTCTGTCAATTGCGCGATTAAACTGCGACAGATCTAGTGAGGTGTAATTAATGGCATGTCGCGCCAGTGTGTACTTGAGCACCCCTTTACTTGAAAGACTGTAAACCTCTAAGATTAATATTTCAAAAAATCTGATAAAGAGTGGTATTTATAACCAAAATATTGGGAGTAAGCTTATTAAAAAACATTCTCACCACAATCTTCAATTTTTTTACCCTTCTTTCAAACTATAGAGAACTTTCCAAATATAGCCTATAGCCACTTTACGTTAACAAAATTGCTAGGCTTCATTTATTCGTTTTTTGTTGTGAATACATGCATATTAAATTTTTTAAAAACCGTGGAAAGACTTATGTCAAAACAATTTCTAAACAGAATAGACACCATTTGTATACTCGATGAAGGATGCTCTGAATATGATATATGAATATGGCAATATTTTACACAATCTATTCAGTTCATAGAGGTTTTTTTCATAAAAATATATAAAGTTTATCATTATGAAAGTTTCAGTGTGTCAAAAGAAATCTACGGAGTAGTTTGGATATTGGTTAATTTCAATTCCTGACATAATTTCTATTCATACAAAATTTAGTGAAGAAAGTAGCCGTTATTTTGCTGCTTTTCCAGCTTTGCATCCTTTTGACTAATAAAAACGAGGTGGACTGTATGGATTTATGTATCATATATAAATAAATATATGGTAATATTAAGCACGTTTAAGTAACCACGGGTATTTTTCACGTGCACCATAAGTATTTCGTTATTTCGATAATATTGCGTTGGTTATATGAGTTCACTGTATTTGGTTTAAGTTGAATATTTTTTACTTACAATGCAAGTGTCAAAAACTGTGGTGTATTTGTGGGGAAATGGTACACGTATTGACCAAGGTTTTTTTTTTAATGAAACAGAGCGGGGGCGTTTATAAGCAATGGGGTTAAATTGCTCACAGGGAACTTCATGCGATGACGACAAGAAGATCTAAATAGAAAGTGGTGTGTCAACATAGTAGGTGGTTTTATTTGAATAAATTTAACGTCCTGTTTGGTTTAAAGAAGCGTTAGATGTCGAAAACTATTAGTTATAAATGCTCTTTAAGTCCAAATATAACCCACATTGACATAACGAGGTGGATCAAACAGAAGAAATTATCAATCTTATCTGACAACGTGGAAGAAATGGCTTTAAAAACAGCAAATCTTTTAAGGTCAAATGTTAAAAAATGTTCCACACAACCAATAAACAGGACGTTACACGCCAGTTATTTCATACAAGACACATGACATGACATGGTAATAATGCCGGGAAAATTGACTTCCGAGATCAAGATTTCTTACCACAAGGTAACGTCAACGTCATCCATTTTTCTTTCTTCATCATAAATAATCTGTCAAGTTGATTCGACTCTCCTTCGACAGTAGCCAAGCCTCACTATCGCATATCGTCTTCACGTCTCCGTTTCCGGCAAACTTGAAAGCTATTCTTACCTTATGCCATCCACCGACGAACTGTTAACATCAGCGCCGTGTCTCAATAATATCTTTGCTACAGGCAAATTTCCAGTACTGCAGGCTTCGTGCAAGGGAGAATACCCTGCATTGTCTTTTACATTCACATCTAATGTACCGCTCTTTAAATAGTATATAACGGCTTCCTGAAAAAGTTCATAAAATGAATAAATGTTTTGATGATTCTGTGGTATTTATCTATGGATCTTTGGAATAAATACATTTTTAATTACAGTCATACGAATTTATTGATGACTATTTGAGATACTGTGTGGTTTATACCTTAGTCGATAATCGATAGAAACGGACATCCATGTGATATTGATGAATTATATGGGATGATAAAACAGTCAAGGGATGGGAAGGGTGTTTTTTCGGATAGCCGAATCTGAGAGCTGAGAACTGGATTTTTAACAAGTGCTACCAATACGTCAATCCCTGGCTTTAATCGATGACTGAAAAATCTCAATTGGCACCAGATTAGTTGCTGATGGTCTACTCTCCAACTATATTTGGATCTGGCCGTCTATCTGTTGGAGCTGAACCTCCGACCAACCATTTCATCGCAATAGCTCAATATTTTCGTTGTGAGGGTTTCGTCAATGTCAATTCGTTCAATATATCAATGATTTTTTTAATGTGACCTATATTTTAAATAATTATGATACCTCTCATGCTAACTGATATCGATAGATTATATTGACAAATTTAAGCAGCCTATATAATCAATATTAATATATCAGATATTTCAGTCTTTCAGTCTCTCAATAGCGAAGTCTGGTTTTAATAAATAAACAATAATCGAAAAAGAAGACCTCCATTGCTGTTCGTTACTAATATTGGCAATGCTTGTTTCTAAGTGATGATGTAGGAGATGGATAGCAAACATTATTTTTCACAAGGGATCCGACTGAGAGTACTTAAGCTGTGATGAACCTGGCGTCTGTCTTGCTTATAGAACTAGGGTAATGATGACTTTTGCCCCAATAGTGCTTTATAAGATCTGAATAAAGCAATCCGAAAAAACAGCGCTGCTAAATCTAGATGTACATCGCATTGTTAAATTGGTCTTTGATTGGAAACATTGATCTCTTGTATCTGTTCTTTGAGGATTTCAATGGATTATTTTTATTTCTTCATCAGAATATTTAACCGGAAGGATTATTGGTGGGTGATAAATGTTTCAGAAACGTTGTCTGCGATACTGTGATATACGTGTTGCATTATATTTCAATAATCAAAAATCAATTATTTTGATTTATCATTAAAATATGAATTTAAAATTGCAATCAAACACTATCAATTATTTACTTCATTCAGTCCATGCTCTACTTAATTTCGGTAACAGGCTGAACTAGTCCGCTTGTTTGAAGTGTGCACATTGCACCGTGTGAAATTCTGAGTAATAACAGCCTGTTATCATCAATCGAAATACGATGAAATATTTAAAAAGTGGACATTTGAACCCAGATATAAAACCATTTCTCTAGAGCAATATACACAAACGAACTAATACAATTCGTTCTTAGTAATTACATATCAGTACATCGAGCAATCCCATGGGGAGGTCTGACCCATTTCCTTCAGGAATAGAAGCTTCAACTTACTTATGAAGTCACTTTAATCTAACGGTCGGTATAAATTGATAAAAATAAATTCTCTCATTATGGCAGGTTGGATAAATAACGGGTATGCCATTGACCCTGTGTCGATAATAATCCCAATGTGTACACAGGCACGTAATGTAAATACCACAGGCTGAGATATTTCATCACTATTTTCAAGACGATGAGAGACAGATCATAAAACAGGTGGTATATGTATTCAACGGGTTCACCCCCTCGAAATAATTCTTCCATAAAAGCATTTCCTTGTACACGTGTAAAGTAATAACTTATAACGTTCACATAACTAGACAATAACGTTCTGTTTGGCCGCAACCAAATATATTCAGACTGCGTGATTTGACGTCTACGGTTAACGATCTGTCTCATAGGAACCAAATATGCCAAGTGGCAAATCGGGATAGAGGATGCCAAAGCATTCTCTAAAATCTCTAAAACCCCCAAGTTCTTAAAAGAATTTATCTGATTCAAATCTTCTGTCAATGATGAGAAATCGGTTAGTACGCATTATAACAATTGGATATGCTAGTCACAAATATTTACGTAAATGATGAAACTGACCAGATAATTGAGGCGAACGGCTTTATGTAGCCCAGTTTCTCCCGTGGTTTTATTTATGGTAATCTTCTTGACCTCAGCTGGTATCAATAACGAAGACTCTTCGTGGCGGAAAAAAGCTGCATCAAAGTCATCATCAGTGGTTTCCTGTCAAATACAAATTTTACAGATTGGGATTGAGTGGATTAGAGGGAAGCATCGAAAGCTTTCTATTCTAGCCAATAACAAGGCACAAGCTTTGAGAGTCTAGGTCTTTTCAGATTGTCAAAAATTCCTTAATTTCACATGCATAAACGTATTTATTTTGTAAATGGCACATCCAAACTTACCTCACTTTGGGCAGCATCGGTTCTTGTCCCTGTTCTGGAATTTGCCTTTTGCTGTCTCCGTGTTCTTCCTGACTTATCACTGTGGTTGACCGCCACCTCATCTTGCAAGTCTAACTCAGTATCCGTGTCATCAGAATCAACATGTCTAGCTGGTCTCTTTCTGGTTCTTAAAGAAACTCTCTGACGTAGCACTCGATCCTGAGAGAGTTCGTCACTGTCGTATTCGTATTCAGTTGCATCTTCATCATCATCATCATCATATTCGTCGTCATCGTCATCATCGAGGAAGTCGAGTTCGGCATTATCGAATTCGAAGTCCGAATCGTGACGAGGTCGAGATCGACTCCTGTGATTTTTTGAAGACGACGACACCTTCTTTCTTATCTGTTTCTCATCTGGAAAATAGTAAGTTTGTGAGACTAAACCCGGAATTACATGATAAGATATTATTAAATTCATGAAAGGGTGAGAATAACCAGACCATTAGGTCTCTGGAAAGCACTGACTGTTCCATGAAAATCATTGTGCTTACATCATACGTCATATACATTGATGCTTGATGTGTGCCAGTTTTTACTTCCGCAGTAATATGTCAGTGTAAAAATATCTTCTTTTGATGATGCGTTATTTGTCACAGGGGTAAACAAACTGTTGCCCAAATAAAATACGATGTGTATGATTATACAATTGCAATTTATATTTTGTTGGCAATATTGATACAGAAGATATCTGACAACAATCACCTGAATTCACCAAGGTTGTGTGAGTCAGTTGGACGACATTTCATCATTGATCAGTCTGGTCGATATTCTCGTCATTAAAGACTACTAATCTACTTTGTGGTACTTGATTACTCAATTTGACCACTGGCAATCGGGTTTCACAGTTACGGACTATCAGACTGACGACATCCGCGGAATCGTGCTCGTGAACGTTGGATTATCCAAATTGACCTATTTATCAATGAAAATGAAGAATATGGCATTGCTGGGTCAAAGCCTTAAAGAGGTAGTATGCAAAATTTTCATTATCAAAAACTTATTGTTGAATGTTGTTAATGAACATTTTTTGTGCAAAATGACAGAAAAAATCGATATATAGTCAGTTCGAACATGATTAGTTTGTAACAGCAGTTTTGCAACGTGTCGGGAAGACAGTGAACCATTTTGACAAGTCTATTTATGATTATCACAAAATCTCACAAAGACCTTGACCTTTATAGGGTGTGTAAAATTTAAAGTCGTGCTTATCAGAAACCGTTATCAGATACCTTACTTCGCATTATACTTCTTATCGCCATAAATAATGTTAGATTTTTTATTTTAAATCATAGTTGCATTCATACCCGTGAAATTATATCTACCTTGTTTACTTGTAGAGGGTATATAGCTAAGCTGTATGGACAATCACACGTTCGCTACCCACTCATGTATCACTTGCAACCAGGGTATGCAAATGTTATGCAAAATATGTCATAGTGACATAAGCTTTCATTTCATGACTTTTTAAAGACCCATTGATTTATTACAGATTGCTTGCAGTCAAAATGCCAGATTCGAACATAAATGGATTAAAGATAAGAGAACCATTTTAAAGGGGCTATCTGTTTTTTCTTTCTTTTCGTTGGTCGGAAAATATTTGTGAAAACTATACACCAAAATCCTGAGATCTTATCTTAAAGATTTAACTTAAAAAATCCTTCCGTTAATTTCTTAACGCCAAATCTGTTTAAAAAGGTTTACCTAAACTTTTTAAATTTGTTAAGTTTTAAAAAAAACTACTGTTTGGATTTAAACAAAATAAACGCTTAAATGTAGATAAATATGTCTTGTACGTATCCTAAAGGTTTCAATTAAAGATATCGAGTCTTTATAATGTACAAAACCAGTTTGAGATGCTTACTTATTAGTACACTCTGTTTGTAAGAAAAATTCAGTTTGATCAAGTAGATTCATAGAAGTACATTACATATTTTCATGTATATTTAACGACGTTTTTCAAAATTTTGCACACTGTCCCTTTAAATACATCTGTATGGTGGTGTCCTCGAGCAGATATAAAGTGGTGAATTAAGGTTACTGTGACAATATGACTACGCCCATGAACAGCCTACGCGGCACAATATCATGTTTTCACCAAACGTTTTGATGAAGTGATATGACGGATTCGACCTATTTTGCTTATCTTACTGGTGGGCGAAATTATCAAGAATTATGCAAATTCACATTACATTAAAAAAAACTTGCAATCGGAAATGGATTTAGGCCTACATGGGGGATTAGAGGGAATGGCCATCTTAAATTTTCCTGGTTACCATTGTATATAAGTACCATATTAAGACTAGATTCAATCAATAAAAGTATCAATTTAAACGATAGGTATACCACGACTAATTTGTGTACTAACACTATTACGTCTATAGGCGTTCGTAATAAGTACATCATAATTCTATAATATTTCGCCTGATAGATTTCATTATCATTTTATCAAAATTGTATACATTAGTTCCATTTCCATGACCAATTTGATACTGACAATCAAATATATAATTAATAATTTTTAGATATAAATAAATCATTGAAGTATGGAAAAAGGTTTCATGCATGTTAGAGAAGTTAGTGGATATCGTACGTTATTTGGTTTATACGTTTTCCTAATATTGACCCAATTTATGACTTTTTTCAAAGCTTTTGATACATGCTACATATGTAGTTTTGGATTTCGGGTTTAGTTTTGCGGTTGGTATCATTAGGCTTTGGTCTTATATTCACAGAATCAACGCCCAAACACTACGGAAATGTTTGGTAATTGAAATAAGTTGATACGTTATACGATAATTATTTATAAATTACAGTTTCAGAAATGTATTTCAATATTTCATAGCCCGCCATTGTGTTAAAAACATTGACACTCAAACGAACCCCAATATTATTGAAAGTTCGAAAATCGTAACTGAATTGTGATAAATAGTTAACGGTTTGTATTTTATTTATAAGATGCTGGGCGTGTCTAGTGTGTCAAGAACATAAAATATCGGCTAACAGTATAAATGTTGAACTTTTTATTTCAAAACGAATTACAAAGCCAAAAGAAACTGCAAGTCGAAAATATAATTACGACCTGTACTTTATGTACGTTAATTTATAAATAAGGCAATCAGACAACGTTGGGAACCTGCCTACGTGGTGAATTATTCTCAAATAATGTCAACAAATATTTTTGAACCCTGCAGGCAAAATGACGTTACTAGTGTCATAAAAATGTTCAGAATTCTTACCAGTCGGCCTAGTTCTCGACTTTAAAACTTCCGGCTTGAAATCGATAAAGCCTCGAGATCTTAGTCCGGATCTTCCTTTCATATGACAACTCTTGTTTCGACCTGAAATAAGGAAATAGGTTCTCGTGTAACCAAAAATCGATATGAGTAAATCTAAAAAGATCTGTCATTATATGACATCAATAACGACTTTCGAATCTATTGAGATTTACAACAACCACAGCTTGTCTATTGCAGGAAGGAACTTGTCAAAGCAGATGAATATTTACACAAATTAACACACATAGCTTACAGATATGTTGGATGCAAATAATCAAAAACAATGTAAAGAATGCATCTAACAAAGTTATTATTAATGACGTCAGGATATCAGCAATAATAATTACAGAAATATAATATTGACCTGAAAATGTTTGAAAATCTAAATTTCAGCAGTTGAACCGGGACAGGAAACAGATGTTAATTGTGAAAATCAACTCTTGCAGCTGATAATGAAACATTTAAACTGCTGCATCGACTTAATCATGTAAGCTTCTGTATCGGAGATGTATCTTTCGCGTCTCAAAGTCACCGACCAAGTCAAAGGGATTACCACAAGAACAGTTCATCGTGAACAACCAATCAATCAAGATCAGATTAAATTCTAAAACTCAATCAATTGTGAGCGGATTAACATGACGATATACATCCATATGAATTTTTAACAGCATAGAAAATGTTAGGATAATTGATTAACCAAAACAAACCATTCAAAATTTCTGCTTAAAAACAATCTGAAATAGACTGAAAAGATGACGTCTATATAATATACGAACCTGAATTTGTATTTCTGTTGATTGCCCGTTTCTTTAACTCTTGAGCCTAAAATTAAACAGTGGAATAAAATGATTTTGTTTTTCAAAATTCGTCAGTATGGAATTTAAGTAAAAAATTAGATTACAATTTCGATTTTGTTTCTCATAATATTCGTCCTTATTGTGATCTAACACGTTTTCTACAACAGTCACGTTCAATAATGCTATTTTTAACCAATTAAAGCGTGTCGAAAAGGATCGGTTCATGATAACAATGACGATAGTGTGATAGCTATTCTGAAAGCAGGGCAATGTGATAGCATTTTTGGGTTTAGCTATTGAGAACGGACATTCTGAAATTCTGCCTATTTTTTTTAAATGGAACACAAACGAAGCCGATATGACAATGTACGCTGTGATATGAGCGGTATACAAAAGCATAAAATGTTTTTGACTTTTATTATGATACGAATCACGATTGTGCATATAAAAAACCTAACCACGAACTGTGAATAATTGGATAACATTACCGCCCAATCAGTTACAGCTGAACATAGCATTTGAAGTAAACAAGACTGGAGGGTAAGAGAATAACACGAAATTAGCCTACAGTTTGAATCCCAATATAGATGTTTTTCATCGAAAATAGCTTGAATAACGTGTATTGATATAGCCCTCAATGCGAATTACGTCATAGGTGTGTCATAGCTGTGTATCGAAAGGAAAGTCACACGGAAATGTCCAAGAAAATAAATTAAAGGCGCCAATATACGACTATGATGGTGTATGGGGCTTGATTATCGACACAGTGGAAAATGGAATAATAGAATACACCTGGTACTGTTTAGAAATGACATGGACACGATTAGCTTCTTCGATTAGTACACCACACCAGACACCTGGTCTGGAAGACACACCTCGGTACCACTTTGAAAGGTTGCTGTATATGTGACCAAAAATGGAATGTAGGCCTGTCAAAATAAGTTCGCTTCGAACATTGTCAATTAATGTCGTAAGAAACCATAGACAACGTCTTATCAACAGTTTCAGTTAATACCATGGTGGATGTATACGTGTTGAGCGTCAGCTCCTCCTTTCGCAAGTTTATTTTTAGGCATAAAAATGACATCAATGACTCAAGATAAAACTATTAGCTAGACAATTACGTAAGCTGTATCTATCAGCATGATATTTAATCTTTCTTATTTATTTCGCGTGTTGAAATGTGTCATCAAATTATAATATGTACATCGTATATAAAAACATAATATTGATTTCAACTAGTAGTAATCGT